AGAGAATGAGCAGTCAGACCCCACCACTCAGTACTTACTTTGGAAGCTGCCCAGTCAATCCAGCCTTTAGCACACGGGTCAATGTTAATGAGCACAAGACCTTCTACCAGCTCTGGATGATTGAGCTGAGAGAGAGACAAAGACAACACTGTGAGACCCCCCACTCCCCACTTCTTCTAAAGCAGTGGACGTGGTCAGCAGCTTGGTCTATGCCTCAGTGCCTCGTGTCTGAAAGGAAGACTGCAGGGAGGTGTATGGAGCATTTACAGACAATACCTCTTGAAAACCCTGACTAGCACCTGGAAACCAGTCTCTCAAAATGGGATGAAGTCATCTTCCCTTGAATGGGTGCTTGGGGAAGACAGGATTTTTGTTGCTTCAGCAGAGAGGAGCATGCAGCAGTTGTTCAACTCATAGGGGACTTGCTTATGGACAAGTACTTTGTACTTACTGCAAACCTGCTGAGGATGTAGGCTCCTGCTCCAACTCCGATACCAATGATGCTCTTCACACTGTGAATAGGACAGATAGACAACTAACAGTGTCAACTACCTACAAAAGAATACAAGCTGGGTGCTTCTCAACCTTCAGTGCCTTACTGATGCTGACAAGGGTAACATCAACTATTTTCAAATGTGCTTGTATAGTTAAATAAAATATGCCATGGACATGGTGATGCAAACACTTAATCATAGGAATTCGGAGGTAGAGGCAGGCAAATCTCTGAGTTTCAGGCTAACCAGAGCTACAAGAGAGACTGTCTCAAAAAAAATGTATATATGTGTGTATATACATGTGTGTATATATGGTGTTTTGAGACAGTATGTTCTTATACATATATACACATCTATATGTACACACATATATCTACAGGTATATATGTATACACACACACACACACACACACACACCCTTCAATCTTGGGAATCATTTTTACTACTACCTCAAAATTCATCAGCAAATCCATCCTGTCAAACTATCCAGAAATATTTTCATTATTAACTACTTTACATTTGTATATTTTCAACTTTTTAAAATAAATAAACTTTATTTTTTGAAGATGATTTTATTTGAATTCATGTATATCTGTGTGTGGCTATGTGCATGCTGAGTGTGAGGTATCTGTAGAGTTCAAGACAGCACGCTGATCCCCTGGGGCTGCAGCTATAGGCAGGTGTTAGTAGATGCTGGGAACCAAACCCAGCCTTGCTGCAGGAGCAGGAACCTCAACGCTGAGCCTGTCTCCGGCCCTTAAACTATACTTTAACCCATCTGTAACAGAATCAAGTACCAGGCTATCCTCAGCCTTTTCCTGAGTGACTATGGTTTCTCACCCCTGTCTCTGTGTTTGGCTTCTACTCCTTTACAAATGACTAGAACAGGAATAATCCTTTTTAAGTTAAATAGTTCTACTGAGTTACATTTTATATACTCACAGTAACCATTTTAAAGTCTAACTTGTGTTTCAGTCCAGGATTAAAATACTTCAATGTCTTCCCTTTTATGCCAACAAAGACACTGCCAACGTTTATCTGATCTTTCAGACTTAAGGAATCTGGTCTGTGTTTATCAGATTTTACAACATGCCTTTCTTCTACCTGATCTTACAATTAGTCTTTCCTTCTGCCCTGGCTCTCCATCTTAGCCTATATGGCACCTACCAGGAAAGACACTCCCTAGCTAGCCTCATTTATCTATCATAACAGACAGATAAATGCTCTTTTATCTATCATAATATCAGACTTCTTTATGCAGATGTTACTTAATGCCAAGGATCAATCTCAGAGAGCTGAACGTGCTCTCTTGCTGAGATACACAGCACAGGTACACTCTGATTACAGGTACACTCTGATTACAGCATTTTATTGTGATTGATTGTCAGCTACACCCATTTCCCAACTAAGCATGATGAACACAGTGACTCTTCCATTTTGCACATCACTGTATTCAGGGACAATAAAGAAAACAGACAAAACAATAAGGTGGCAGCGCTGGGCACAGATCTCAGTGCAAGCGTATCCATTTACCTGAATGAAAGCCTGGCTTTCATTTGTAGCAATGAGGGGAAGACTACAAAATCTACTCACCTTAAGTGTGTAAGAACGGGAGGCAGCATCTCAGCTAGCTCATCCATGGTAGGGTACTGATACCTGAAACCCAGAAGAGCCACTCCTGAATTAGAAAGTACCCACAGTTCCCAGACACTAGGAGACCCTGACCAGTCCAGGAGTCTTAGAGAAACACAAGATTTATTTTATTTTATTTCTTTTACCAAAGGCTCAAGGATGTGATGTGGTACCTAGAAACAAGCATGGCATGCTCCGTGATCCTCCATGACTGCCGTGTGAGGAAGAAATAAAAGGGGACACACTCCTTCTACCAGAGGAAGCTACAGGAAAAGAAATGGTTACAGGGCCCACTATGTGCTATTTCCAAACCCTTAACATTCACTTCCAGGCTCAGGAATGTCCAGCAGCCTGCCAGTCATATTTAGGTAGTTAACTGTAACAGGAAACAATGCTTTCCTGGGACTATGCATCATTGTAAGACTCAGGATCCCCAGAATAAATGCTCATTTATTTCTCAACATGTTTGTTTATGAACTGATTCTAAAATGGCCAGGCAAGCCCAGGGCTGACTCAGAGGTGGGAGAGTAAGGACAAAGTCACAGATGATAAAATCAGAGAGGGATAGGATACTTTACAATGAGACTCTATGTGTGTACATGTGTGTGTGTGTGTGTGTGTGTGTGTGCACGCATGCGTGTTAAATAGTCTCCTATGTTGGGTGGCCTCTGCTCCACAACCCCCAGGGCTATCTGCTGCACTGTAAGGAGTGGAGTGTCCTCACACCATTGTGCACAAGTGAGAAAACAATCTTGATGGACACCTGGACAAATGACAACTGTATCTGAGACACAACAGCCTGGACAGAGTCAACTAGGATTCTGTGTGACAAGACTTCTTGGGCTGAATCTGCCTCTGCTACTTCCTTGCACACTGACGAAGAATCCCATGGGATCTTCTATGGTCCTATGGGCCTGTTGGATCGAGTGAGCTAACACACACAAAGCATCAAACAGTGTCTGGCAGAGCCTGGGTCCTATGCAGGTGCAGACTCTCCCTTGTCTGGATGCTTTCTCTACAGAAGTCACTGGCAAATGCAGCATGAGAGGGGAAGGGTTCCCTCCTCCCCCAAAAGCTCTCATTGGCACCAAGTCCAGGGACACTTGGGAGCCTGTGACCGACAGGCAGAGCAAGGTTAGGATGATGTTGAGTGTCAAAGACAGTCAGATGGTGCCCTTGCCCATCATTTGTTCTGGCTTCAGAACAAATGATTCCCCAGGGGTCCAAAACCCATCCCTAGGTGGGAACCCAGATGGGAACCCCTCCCAGAGCAGGGTCAAGGGAGTCTGGGTTCAGCCTATGTATCTGGTGATTCAGGAAGGGACACCAGGTGACAAATAAAAATGAATGAGTCAGGGGACAGATGAGGGAGAAGTGGGTGCTCCAGACACATTCTGCCTTGTGACTACAAGGACACAGGTCCTGGCCATGAAGAGGCTTTTCTTGGCATATGAAAAACATCCAGGATCCAAGGACACATGAGCTTCTGAGACCAAGGGCAGAAAGACAAGCAATCAACACCACCCGTGAGTGTGACACCATCAAGTGGGAGGGAAGTGCCGCGTTCAGCCCCTTACAGTCCACCTGAAGTGGAAACTTGTGGTTTGTTTGGAAAGTCAGTTATGTCAACTGATGTTTTCCGGGGGCACACAGGTTAAAGGATGTCTTGCTAAAGCAGACACAGGATAAGAATGTTTTCCTGAAGCAGATACAGGTGAAAGGATGTTTTCATATATGGCAAACATATGGAAGGACCTGTGATGAAGGAGCATAAATATGACTCCACAGACAGCGGGAGATGAGCACTGAGCCTTGGTTTGCTCTACCTAGCTATTCTTTGCTAATGACACGCATGTATTGGTTTGCCTTACTAGCATTGTTGAGCTCCACTAGTGCTAACCCCAGAGAGACACATGGCCAAGCTCATGAACTTCCTGATCAGATTACAGCTTCAGTGTCTTACCTCAGGCAGGTTGGTGAGCCTTTCCTGTTCTTCAGGATTGATCTACAGCTGCTGCTTCATGCCTGGTGTCTGCCTGCCTAGAGAACGTGTCTGTAGCTGCTGAGTTGTATTTGGTGTTTATTATGGGACTGAACTGCTGCCAAAGAGGATTACTGAACAGGTTCACTTCCCCCATATCCTAGTAACTTTTCTCCTCCATTACCACTACCTTCTAGCAGAGAAGAGGTTGAACCTTTATTAAAAGTAGGTTGCAAAAAATTCATGCCTACACCCACCCATTGTTTTTTGGCCCGTACGCCTCCCATAGAGTTTTCCTGTGGCCTCACTTACCCTGTTGGGAAGGAGGGTGCTGCTTCTTGTTGGCCTGGGGCATCAACATGACAGACAGCAAAGTGCTGGGTGATCTCTTGCATATCCTCAAAGTTGAAGAACGTGTTGAAGCAGGATTTATCTATGAGATAAGGATGCCTGTGGACCAAGTGCCCCAGCTCTCCCTGCTTCCCCTCCACCCTGAAAAGCTGACCAGTGTTCTCTCAGTCCCTTTTCCTCAGCAGTCCACTTGAGTGAGGGTTTGCACACAGCCTGTGCCTCAAGCTGCCCAAGGAAGACTCCATAGGAGGCACCTCAGTGACTGGAGGACAACTGGTTCTCAATTCTATGCAATGGGTTCAGAGCAGAAACCATCTTGTGGATATTCGCTGGGTTTCCTGGTGGTACACAAAATAATCTTCCACCCACAATGGTGTCTGCTATGCACCTTGTCCCTCTACCTGCTGAGGAAGGACACTGACCTTTGCCTGACCCTGGCTAGAGTTTTCCTCAGCTGCTGACATCCACCACATGGGGCTTTCTATTGTCAGAACTGCTGTGTGCAT